AGTCCCATTCACTGTCTGGGCTGCGTGTAGAGAGAGCAAGGGCCCTGAGCTGATAATGATTCTAACCAGCCTAACTGTGCCAGAATCACCTAAACCCTCTTGCTGTATTTATATATATTTAATCTGTAATTAATGATCAAATGAAATTCAGGGTGAAATCATGTCAGACAATAGATCCGACCACTCTCGCTCTTCCCTCAACCCCTTATATTTACCAATTACATTAGGAGGGCTTTGTTTGATTAAGGTTCATCATGATAGAATTGTAGTGTGCACCTTTGAACATAATTATTTGTCTGATGTTCCTCTTGTGAAGCATGCCAAGACTCATGATGATGAAAACAAGGCATTCCACAGTTTTCTAAAGCCAGCCAAGGGTAAGGGACATAATTTCAATGTCAATGTTGATTTTGTTGATGGTTTTGTACTGCTTGCCAGTTCAGAAAGGTATGTCAACCAAGCGAATCTGTAATGACCATTGACGGAAATAGAAAATTCTCGAACAGGAGTAACTGACGAGCTCTTCCACCTAATTTCCTGCTTTCTTACTTTCAGTTTTTGTTTGTTTAATGCCGCACTCAGCAGTATTCGAGCTATGTGATGGCGGTCTGTAAATAATCGAGCCTGGACCAGACAATTGGGATACAATGACTTGACTCAGCCAAGTTACTCGCCTCTTACGACATGCGTAGTCGCCATTTAGGGCAAGCATGGGTTGCTAAAGACCTATTCTACCCCGGATCTTCACGGGTCTCTTACTGTAAGTGACAAAGTACGTTATAAACATAGCACACCAATAAAATTGGTAGTTTAGTATGTAAATAGGTCACATTATATTATCCGATCAGTGTGTGATTATCCAGCATACGTTGGAGTAAAATAAGTTTTTTTTATATTAATGTGCTTTAAGTTAATCACGTGACTCGAAACATTCCTAAAGTACATTGTTCTGTGTTCTGTGCAGCTGGTTATGAGTTGTAAAAGTTGCCACCACTTTTGTTAAGAGACTGCAGCAACTGCAAGCCATGAAATAGTGTGCTTGTCGAGTTGGTTGCCGTAACCAACGTGAATCGGCGGCCTGGGGTGTGATTGGCGTTGCCGTGGGACGAGCATGGCTGAGAAGGGCAACAGCGGTCGTTTTGTATGTCTGCAGTATGTTGCTTAATGCCCTACACTGAACAGCATGCGGTTATGAAACATGTGACGGATTGAGAAGGACAACAGCGGTCGTTTTGTATGTCTGCAGTATGTTGCTAAATGCCCTACACTGAACAACATGCGGTTATGAAACATTTCACGGATTGAGAAGGGCAACAGCGGTCGTTTTGTATGTCTGCAGTATGTTGCTAAATGCCATACACTGAACAACATGCGGTTATGAAACATTTCACGGATTGAGAAGGGCAACAGCGGTCGTTTTGTATGTCTTCAGTATGTTGCTAAATGTCCTACACTGAACAACATGCAGTTATGAAACATGTCACGGATTGAGAAGGGCAACAGCAGTCGTTTTGTATGTCTGCAGTATGTTGCTAAATGCCCTACACTGAACAACATGCAGTTATGAAACATGTCACAGAGTGCTCATCCCTGTGTCTAGCGACAGACATAATTCCTGGGGCACCAACTTTGTGGCTGCTGTGGCACCATGCACGGTCAAAGAGGTTTGGATATGTTTGGGGAAACCCCGCTGTATGAGATATGATTGATATCATTTGCCATATTTCTCCCCAGGAAATAATATTAAAAATTATTATTTCGAAAGAAACTATTTCACCGATAACTGGTGTGGGTGCACTATCTTGCTTGGCAGTAATGAAAGGACGATGTTACCGAGGATACGTTAGATCACGGGGAAGGCAATTATGACGTAACTCAAAAAGTGTACGTTATCGCAGGATAAAGTATAGTTGGCGTCTTTGATCTTTTAGCGAAGCATCTTAGAATCTGTAATTCACTGCGGGCTTGTCAGGCATCAGGTGTCATCTTTGTCACGTATGCTCACTACCTTTTTATTAATTGGAATTCCCTTCTGGGTGATAAAGTATCATGTTAAAGAGGTAGGCATTATTTTTGATGGGATGCCATAAATCTAGATCGTTTGAATGGCCATGGTATCGATCTTTTAGTGTTAGTGCAGTCATGGTGTTATCAGCTACTAATGTTCCAGTAGTTGCTCCTGTTGTTCACAGACATCAATCGTGCTGCATTTTATTTCTTTTGAATAATTTTATAATCATCCTCAACACACATTAATCTTGTTGACAGCTCACCACTGAGGCCTCGTTAAATCTAACATTTATTACAATTTTAGTGTTAATAGTATCGAGTTTCGATTTAACATTTGAACAGGAATTCCAAGACGAACAAATTTACAACGTATAGGACATAAACGTTTGGGCTCCGTTCTACGCCCGTCTGTTCGATTTCAATGGGGAGAGGAAGTTTTGGAAACCACGATAGCAAAAGGAAGGCAATTTTGCATACATCATGAATGAATAGATATGTTGCTCGAATACCAAATTCATCATCGATTCCCGAGTTATGCCGAGACTGGTGTAATGTGGAATCATTTCTTACATCCATCAATAATTCTCGCCGCTGCATTCGGTACACGTTACAGTTTTCTTAGTAGTTCCTGTTTGATGTGTATAGGGTGTCTGATAGTCCTTAGACCATTCACTGAGTTTTCAGCGGTTCTCAGTCATAAACGTCCTCAGACACAGCTTCCCAGGTCTTCAACTCCAACAGAATGATTATCGGGAAAGACGCGTTTGATTAACGGTGGGTTTTTGTTTACAACACATCCTCTGCTTCCTGAATAGACCGAGAATTAAAGCGGTCTAGGACTGAACCTTGTAGAAACCATACTTAAGGACACTTACCGTTGATACCTTATCCCTTATAATTACAGACTAGCGCCTATCCTGAAGGTAGGAGACCGACCAATTCGCATACAACATAGTTAGACTGAATTGTCCAATATCAGCGTTCATGTACTCTATCCTGCACTGTCGGCTGATTAATACTCCAAGATTCATACCTGTGTATCTAGCGTATACAGACAACGCAGTAATATCCTCACAAGGCATGTTATACTTGTGCAGCTGTATTAAAAACACATAATAACCTCAGAGGATGTAAATTACGTAGCCGTTTACATGTAAAATATGTGTGTTGTAACCAATCACTTGTCATCTGCAGCGCACATTAATACTGTTGCATGGTTGTCAATGAATGATCCCACTACGATATTGGGCTACTTATATATAGTATACAAGTATTAAGATATTTTCAGACAAAATTCGTCTATTATTTCGACATGCTCATAAACAATGGTTAAAATAGAATAGTAGACTTCACCTACAAATCGTTTTCATAGTCATTCAAATGATATCAGACTTTTATTTCCCTTGATTATTGTTGAATAAAGTATAGAGAAAGTACACAATGCGATTATTATTATGATTAAACTGTTGAAACACGACTGAAATTCAAAACGCTTTTAGAAGAAGACATGTAGATAAATATTTAAATATCTAAATATGTGAAATATTTCATAATCGAAATCATTTCTTATTATCTAGATTGAATAACAGACAATGAAACTGACCACAAGTGACAATTCCTGGAAGCCATGTTCCAGGAATCTATAGGAGTGGCGAGTTCTTCAGGATTAGCTTACCCTTTTTGTGAACACCTGATGTCATCACTGATTTCCAGTGATTCATCCATATACTTGCTGCCATTGTACGCCCAATGGAATCTGTTCCGGCGTTGACGTTTTAAATGTGTATGTCATTAAGAACTCAGTTTATTGCCATCGGTTCTGTAACATAAAAGGATCACTGCACTTAAAGTAAGACAATCATCATAGAAAGTGTGTGTTATTGATGCGATGTTTCTGCATGGAGAATGCTCGGTTGATGAACGTCGGGTGTAGTTCGTGAATATGTTTTTAAATAAAAAAACTTAAGGTTCGGTAATTGAACAATTCGGCATTGAATTTCAACAGACAAATGAAAACGATTTTTAGATGATTAATTTGTTTTGTGGAATCTGAATGAAGATGATTTACAGTGTTTGATGGATATTTTACAGATACTCTATCCAAGTTTAACTTTACTTTAGCCGCCTCCGTGGTCTTGTGGTAGAGCGTCCGCCCGGAGAGCGGAAGGTCCGGGGTTCGATCCCCGGCCGCGTCATACCAAAAGACGTTAAAAGATGGTGCTTGTTGTTACCCTGTCTGGCGCTCGGCATTAAGGGGATAAAACAAGGACTGGTTGGCTCGGAGTCAGTATACTGTGTCTGAGTGGGGTATTCATGTTAAACTGCGGCATGGTATCTCAGTGAGCTAGCACTATAAATCGGCATTAGTCCGGACTAGTACTAGTAAACCCAATTTCACCTCACCTAACCTTTACTTTAGAGATGAGTGATAACAATCTAGATGTAATGGTTACAATATAAAAAAATAACATTGAAACAGATGCAATGTATATTACAAACTAACCGATTACATTAGCACGTAATCTAAATCAATATGCAGTGTCCTTCAAGACGTTACATAGTCGTTCCGATGCTTAATAAGCTTTTTAAGTACTTCGAAATGTATCAATATCGAGACAAAAAAACATGGGGTGTCTGGGTAAGAATATATGTGGCGACTAAATGGACAGCGCAGTTAGGCTCGATGACCTAGCCTTCCCATCCTAAATGTCAGTGTTGCCATGCTTTTCACCGTTTGTGCGCCTTATGTAATGGTCGACTGAAACAAAACAGAAGTTGTCCAACTGCTATTAAGTTATTCCAACTTGTTATTTGAAACATACATCCGGTAGTGTTTCATGAATTATACATTCTGATATCGAACCATTTCTTGGATTGGCTTCCCAGGACTGTGTTCTATTGTTCCTTGCCTTGTGTCATGAAAACATGCTCATGATAGTCTTGAAATATGTAAGCTGAGCATCAGGAAAACTTCGGCTTTGTATCGCCTCTCAGCAGATATCACGTTCCCATGCTGGATCGCTTGGGCTTAACACAGCATCGTTCTCAATTGCTTTGTGGATGTTGAAGACAAGATGTCGCTTCATGTGCTCGCCAGTCTGGTATTCTGTCTTAGTGTTTCGAGACTGAAGTACACACATGGTGAGTATTGTTCTGTTTGGGGGTGTAGAAAAGCAAAATGTTCTTTGATAGTTAAATCGCCATTCGTATCACATTAATGAGATTTAATTAAGGTTAATTAATTAGAAATGTTAGCGTTGATCACGAGTTCGTTGTTCCTGCTAATGATGTGTAAGTTAATTGAATAATATATTTCCTCATAGGCATTTAGTCCGAAAAAAATCTAGCATCTGAACAAAATGCAACTAAAACTTACTATCAGCTTCTTGAGGTGACTGATTACCCGATACATATACATAATACTGAATGGGCTATACGTGTAATACCAATGTTGTAAAACGAGTGAATAGTTCTGGTGTATGACGAGCGAAATTGGTATTACACGGGTATGAGTATATTTATAACTTGGCGTTTTTAACTGTTTAAAACCTGATTTCCCGTCATAAACTAGGTCAAACGTATAAATACAATATTACACATCTACATCATTTTACAATCAAAACAATCAAACATTTTACTTTAAAATCGATTAAAGTTGACGCGTCAATACCATACAACAGCGTACCTGTAGAATGTAGCACCACCAACGTTACAAACACGTCACAATACCCAATCACGTAATTAGTGAAATGTTGTTACGTGCCTATTGTTATTAAACAGTAATAACATAGTTCCTAATTAATAACTGCAACTTGACTGAGGTGAATGCAGCTGAAGAGACAATGCACACAAAAAAACACCTTAAAATGGATAAAATCATTACAATATATGTCAGAATTTTATTCGTAGCGATACAGGAATCATGAATATAATTGATACACAATGTATTTAGAAAGTGGTCACATCTACAAATGTCATATTTGGAATAAAACTGTTTTAGCAAAGTATACATTCTAGCATTTTGGGGGTTGAGTCCCATCCGGGATTGGAACCCACATTCTCAGAGTGAGGCACCCCACCTAATCGCCAGCACACAAAGTACCCAATCAGCCACCGATCGCGAGGGGTCTACAAACATGAAAGTCCAACAACGGGTGGTCTAGGTCACTTACGTTGTGTACCCCTCTGACAAGTATAAATTGGCACGGCTCCCATAGCCGAAAGCTATGAATACACAATGCCAGTTAGAAAGTGATAAAATGTAACAAATGTTATATATATATATATATATATATATATATATATATATATATATATATATATATATATACATACTTTCTTAGTAAAGTACTCATTATACAACTTTTTGAGTCCCATCCGGGATTCGAACCCACACTCTTTCCATGTTTGAACCACATCGAACATTTGTGGGGTGATAGACAGGTACAACAGCTTGAATTACAACCGCAGACTATGTCCAGGCAATTCTGTAAAAACCTCTTTTGAACCACCTGAAAACTAATATATTTTGACCAGTGTAAGTAGCCACCAGTCGCTATGGTCCTATTCCTTGCTTCATTGTTTTCACGGGCAGGGGATGTTAGGCAGTACTTGACTCCAAGGGTGGGCACATTAGGACACTGACTGCAGATGTCCTTGGTCCTTGACGTTTGACATGTGAGGTGAGGTGAAATTGGGTTTAACGTCGCGTCCAAGAGTATTGCAATTATACACACGTGTGTGTGTGTGTGTGTGTGTGTGTGTGTGTGTGTGTGTGTGTGCGTGGCTGCTTGTACTACTCCGGACTGATGCCGATTTATAGTACTAGCCCGAGATACCATGCCGCAGCTTAACATGAATACTCCACTCAGACACAGTATACTGACTCCGAGCCAACCAGTCCTTGTTTTAGCCGCTTAACGCCGAGTGCGAGACAGGGTAACAACAAGTACCATCTTTTAACGTCTTTTAGTATGACGCGGCCGGGGATAGAACCCCGAACCTTCCGCTCCCCGGGCGGACGCTCTACCACTAGACCACGGAGGCGGTCCTTTTCACATGTAATATCCAGATCAGCTTCAAGTGTCAACTGTGACAGTGTGTGTGAACATCCAGCTGCTTTCCGTTAATCACCTAATTGATTCCATCAAACGTGTTTCAAATGGTATTCATAATAATAATTCCATTTACAAAGCGCAAGATTCCATTCACCAAGTGAATGCTAAGGCTCTACATTATTACTACCCGGTCAATGGACCAGTGTGCATTCGATTTTAATTCTCAGCTTCCAAGAGTGTTTAAAACCCATGTAGTTTGTGATACCGTATCATACTACCGGGTACCCATTCCCTGCTGGGTGAACAGAGGCATATGTCGAGCAAAGTCACTTGCCTAAAGAGACATTGCAGGTGCTGCACGTGCTTCAGTGGCGAACTGAGAAGTCCAAGAAACTCTCAGGAGTCAAGCTGCCAAAAGCGATAACCACGACCAACGTTGCTTAAGTTCACCTGATTTGTGACCTGTGTGCTGTATACAGGACCAGGTACTTTTCATGGCATGGCAACATCCCAAAACTATTACTAATTTGTAAAATAGGTAAAATATATACGCCAGATAAATCGTCTCGATTATACGATGAAACAGATTTCATTGAGCCTAAACGCTAATCATGTCTCAGCTTCCCGGATCAAAATGATCACAAGAAGGACATGCAAACCATTAGTCGTGAAACACGTACGATTCGGATAAACGCACCCAGGGCATTAACAAAAGGGTCATGGAGCTGCACGTACTGCACGTGCAGCAGCACTATGAACGGTATTGAAGTGCAAGCTTTTTGATTGCCTGGCATCTGCGTCAATCGAACAGTGACAGTTCAACAACATGGCAAGGTTAACAGAAGTGCAAAGAAACAACGTCATTGGCCGCTTGCAGGCAGGGGAATCCCGATCAGCTGTAGCCTGGGTTTTCAATGTGATCCGTTTCAACAGTATCGGTCAATACGTGATCGGCCAAGTTCGGGACGAACAAGAATAACCACCCCGCCCAATATCGCTACATCCGACTGCGCCACCTACGTGAAAGGACGACCACAGCCACCTCAACTGCATCCTAAATAATCGGGCTGCGCAGACATCTCCGACCAGACCGTACGAAACCATTCAAGAGCAGCAGGTCTACGAGTAAGACGTCTGTAGAGGAACAATTTGACTAGCCGGACCAATTTTTTCTAATCAATATTAAAAAATCTCGCAACGTTTTCATAAATATTATTTTATTATATATAATGTTAAACAGCGACTAAAATACGCTATCTGCGAGTCTCTGATTTAAACAAGCCGACAGCATGCCAAAAGCGAAGTGACCAATCCATAATGGCGGATATCATAGCCCGAACATTAAAATGTTGCATTGGTAAACGGAAACGAAACTGACATTGAATAAATCATGCAAGTGCCTTTTCTGTACAGGCAGTTACATTTCTAAATGAACATCCTGTGTTTGCTTTCAGATTCGAAGTTTGAAATTAAACATATTAGGTCATTCTTCCAGGAACATTCAAGTTTGTGTGTCTTTATAACATTTTCTTCCAAACAAAGTAGATTGTATTAAATGAAGATATGTGAAACTTTTCTTCTTTTTCTCTTATGCTATTTGTTGCTTCTAATATGATATGTATTGCCATTTTTTTAACAAATATTTTTGTACAAAAAACTTTTTCAAATGTCATGAGATATTTTAGCACATGTATAAAGTGGGAATGGGACTGTACTACAGCGAAAGCGAATTATTCCTATATGAGTAAACATTATTTGTATTGTAACAATCATTATATTTTCGCGATTTTCGGAAATACACGAAGGTGAAAGAGTTGTTATATGTGTAACTTCTGCCGTAAGTCTAACAGTAAAATGTTTCTGGGGCATCAACGCGTCAGTCCTTTATTCTTATCGACGTCTTAAACAAAATAACTTAAATGTCTTTTGATACTGTCGCCCAAATCCAGTTAAATGATGAAAATATATTTTTTTAAATGATAAGAAAAAACCGCAAGTCTGTCCAATGGAATGCAGTGGATTTTATATCTTCTGTGTTGTTGCAACATATTTATATTTAATTTGGGCACAACTTATTTCAACTTGGGTATATAACTTTCATTAACAATATTTACATGAAACATAAATACACTGTTAGGAAATGTTCAGAAAATAAGATGTATAAACACAAGGACGGGGAAGTACAATAGGAGATTATTGATAGATATGTTTTGGTAAAAAATCTATCTCTTTTGAAAATATATTTGTATACTTTTTACCTACACAGCCATTTATTATTAGTTCAAATCTATTTACATGTACAATTGTGCTACTGAGGCCAACAATAACCTTACCTCGTCGTCCAGTGGACATTCCTCATGAGAGACCTCGCAGACAATTTTACATGCCGTATTTTTGTTTGGATTTTATCATATATTGTATGCTCTTATTTCACGTGGTTTGTTTGTTTATTACTCTTAAGTTTAGTGAGGGAACGCATCTCTTGGCTGACCCGTACCCATGTTTCAATCACCCGGTCTCAGCGGCCCTTGCCTTGAAAAAGCTTACCCGTACCCAATAGAAATTGATATAGTTTTGATAATCTGAAAACTGCAATGTTTAGTTAACTGAATGAAAAGCATGTTAATAACTGAATGAGCCAATCGCTACCGATACGTAGTTTGTAATAACAATGGCTACCTTCAAGGCAGTCGGAATTACTGAAAACAACATCCGATATATTTCACAAACAGGTCTCTTGGACGGAAGTTAGTATAAATATGATGTTGTCTACGTCAGATCGATCACATTCACCGAGACTTAAATATAAATTTGTATGAATTGAATGAAATTGAATGAATATGTGCATCAAACACTTTTTTGTATGTTTTCCTTTCTCTTCTGGTTAAAACAATCCTGTTTCTCCGCCACTTTGTTTTCTAATAGCAAACACGTCTATAGTGTACGGGTCAGCCAATTGTAGACAAGGGTAAACCGAACTTGGGGACGGGTCAGCCAATTTTAGGTACGGGTTGGCCAATTTGAGTACGGATCAGCCAAATGTAGGTATGGGTAAGCCAAAATCTCAGGTATGGGTTACGGGTT